GAGTGGCAAGAGCAGAATCCATCCCAAAACTTACTTTTGTTTTTCAGGTCACTTTTCAGATGTAGGAGTAAGTTACCAGCTACCAATACACAATGCCATCAGGTTACATAACTGATCTGGCAAGGAGCTCCCCGAATGTTTTATTCCCTAGCAATTATAGAAAAATCAAAATGCATAAGGCATACACCTGTACTCTGATTAAATCTGCCTCAAATCCTCTTCTCAGAATAAAAGAGGAATAAACAAACCAAAAAAATGCATGAGATTTATCTATCTGCTGTCCATAATTATTTTCTTTTGATTTAATTTTATGTTTCAACATGTAAAACATAAATGTTTCCAAAGCCAAAATTAGATAATAAGGTACATTCAGAGAAATTCTTCTTCTGTCCCTATTCCACACTGGTCTCTTTCTTTTTCCCTCATAGTTAAACATTTGAATAATTTTTATTTATACTTCCAGGGATCTTTTCCATTCCTCTTTACAGAACAATATTTTGAAGCATCTGTGTGGTCCCTTTAAAAATATTATTAAAGAATTTATTAAAATTGAGAAATATTACTTTTTAAAAGCTTTATTGAAGTATAGTTGATTTACAATGTTGTGCTTAATTTCTGCTGTACACCAAAGTGACTCAGTTATACATATATATATATATTCTTTTTCATGTTCTTTTCCATTGTGGTTTATCACAGGATATTGATTATAGTTCCCTCTGCTCTACAGTAGGACCTTGTTGTTTATCCATTCTGCATATAATAGTTTTTATCTGCTAATCCCAAACTCCCAATCCATCCCTCCCCCACCCTCCGTCCTCTTGGCAACCACAGGTCTGGAGAACTAGAACTCTTGACAGAACTGAACTAGTAAATTCTAGCTTATCTACAGCAAATGTTCGATTTCAGGATAATTTACCCATGCCACTCACCTCCTACCTCCAACTGTTGAGATATGCTGAGAGTATAAAATTGGGTTTCATAATTAGGCCAAGTAAATTATAACTAGGCTTTGAGCTGGAATGACACAGAGATGGCAAAAGTAAAACTTGCAGTTTTGGGGAAGGAAACAACTTCTTTTTGTTCTCTGGAAGCCTGGATATGGGCAGAAATCATGACTTCATGAAACAGGACAATATTTATATGAACACAATTAAGTAATCTAGAATCAGAAGCTCCCCCCCACTGCATTCACAGTGAGCCATGTAGTAAACACTTCACTAGGCCAACATGTAGGACCACAAGGCTTGAATTTATATCTAGTCTACTCTATTTTGGAGTAGAGTCTACTCTACTCTATCTTACTGATCATTTCAAAACTGGACACCAACATCTGGGACTAAATCTTCCATAAAAACTATCTGTTAAATAAGTTGGTTATACTAAATACATGATATGGGATAATTCTGTGTGACCAGTGTAGATAATTCTATGAAGTCAATCTTACACAAATCTTTATGGCAACTGCTTCCAGACCAAGTCCACTGCTATGTTTCCAATTTGATCCCATTGGGCTCCTCAAAGCAAGAACACTGAGTTGTAGAGTTCTAGAATTGGATGATCTTAAACATGACCTTTTATTCTGTCCTTTGAAGCAGAAGCTCCTTGAGGGTAACTTGAACATATTCGTTTCTGATCAATTACAGAAAAAAGTAAATCAGACACATATGTAATTTTTAGTTTCTCTTTTCATATTAGTGTCTTCAAAACTTAGCATTAATAATTTTAGGCATCAAAATCATAGCATATTGCTAGTCATCTATGAAATTGTTTTGGGAAGAGTAATTTTTTCCATGCTCTGAAATCAATGCTAACTTGTACTTCTAAGGAAGTTTTGTAAATATTTTTTAAAACTCTCTTTTTCTTTTTATAAACTATATAGACCCATTGTGTTAAATACTGAAAAGTATAAATGAAAATAACACTATGCAGCTGTAACTAACCACTGTTAATAGTTGACCATATTATTTTCCAGCATTTTTTCCTATAGGTACATAATTTTTTCTTACACTGTTGAATATAAAGTCTGTAGATCTTGTAATGGTCTTTGGCTGAAATCAATCAAACCTAAACTAAAAAGTTTGTACATTGAAAGTAAAGCTGTACCCTCTGAAAGATAACACTCTCTGAATCTAATTTAATGACTTTGTGATCTCTTCTTGGCTTCCGGGTAATTTAGAAAACTTCCTATTCATTACCATCACCTGTATTATGGAGTTATCTTTTCAAACAACTGCTAAGTTAAAAAGAGGAAGAGAGAGAGAGGAAGGTCCAAAACTCCATTTGAAATCTATCAGATTTTTAAACTTTGACAGAAAAAAAGTAATTAATTGTTCCATTCAGTTCCACATTGCCATCGTGTGATTGAAATGCAAAGCCCTTTCAAACCTAAAAAGTGCTCTTTGCCAGAATCAAAGATGACACTATTAAGTCATTTATTTTACAAAAGCACACTTAGAATACTAAACAAGGGTGATGACCTCTCATTGATTCACTGCAACTTTCTCACCGTTAAGACCAAGGTGTGCGTTTGTATCAGCACCAGCAACGCGGCTGGTGCTTGTTCAGGGACCAACCAAACCAAACTGGGCTTGCTGAAGGTCTACTGAGAACCTCATCAACCCATTCTAGACAAAGGTCAGTGTAATGAGATTGCTTTAAGTAAAATTGCTAGTCGACAGAATGGATAAACCATAAGGTGATATTTGCTCTAGAAAAAAAACTCCTTCCCTGAGAATTCCTTTAAATAATAGGTTGTCTCGGTATTTTTAAAACACGATCCAACTGCATTAAAACACACCTTTCAGGAACTTGCTATTGAGGAGAGTCCTGTACCCAAGAACTTCCTGTTTTGCTGGGACATCTCTTAAATAATACTATTTGACATATCTAACACAATAAATAATTACCAGAATTTCATTTTAATTATAGGGCATGTAATTTGAGCTACGAGGTAAATTAGCTTCCTATTTCTCAAGGCCTTGCTCTGTTTGGAATTTTAAAAGGTCTTTTAAAGGCATAAAATATGGAAAACATTTAATATTTTCTAATAATTGTGAAATACCTGAACCCAGGAGGTGGAGATCTCATGCTTACTATGAACACAACTTTTACACTGCGAAATGTGAGGTAATAGGCTCGTTCCTGGGTGCACACTTTATTACTTTTAATAATAAATTAATTTATTATGCTCAGTAAACTTTAAAAGATGCGTTGTGAGGGGGCAGTGCAAAATAATATAAGCAGGACAGGCTACATAACTTGCCGACCCCTCCTTCAAAAATCATTAATTTCCAGAGGCAGAACATTAAACCGGGCACAGCTCCTTCTAAGTCCTGGGACCTTTGCGAGCCTCCAGGTCACACATCAGTGAATCCAGACCTGCACACGAGGCCTTCTTTTACCCTCATTTTAGGTACACTGATTTTCACGCACTCTCTCCCTTCTTGAGGCGCTTTTCATTCGCGGCCTCGACCCTCTGGTCACAGCGCGCTGGGACAGAGATGGATGCTGGCTTTGCTGCCTGCCTTACTGTTCTTAAGTTTAGGTAGAACACTCAGCATGCCTATCACTAACCCTGAAATCACTGGGGCAAGTATTGTAAAACAGATTTTTCTTTCTCCTTCTAGATTGAAAGGAGACTTTTCGAGTTTGGTTGTTCTGGCTTACAATAGCGGTGCATTGAGGAGAATCTCAGTTCACAGTAGGCAGAGTCCGCTGGAGGCTCGTCTGGGTACCCCGAAGGCCGGCCGGCCCAGCCTGGGCGCCTGCGGGGACGGTCCCCGCGGCTCTCCTCGCGTTTACCTCCGGGATGCGGTCCCCGTCGCCCCTGGACACCCTGAGAGATGCTCCTTTTCTCGGTCTCTCGCGCCCGCCAAGAGCGACGCCTCCATCTCTCCCGGGCCCCCAGCTGTCCAGGTGGGCCCCAAGCAGGTCCCCTCCGGGAGCGGCCTCCTCCTCTCGTCCCCGCCTGCCTCGAGGCGGCCACCCGGGGATGGGGGCTGGCTTGGTGCCCGCCAGGCGGGCAGTGGGAGCTTCTCAAACCCGCTCCCTCCCGGCCCCAGCGCGCCCCGATCCCTCCTCGCGCATCCGCGCTCACTTCGCCGGCCCTGGCGGCCAGTCTCCCACACGCCCCGGCCGGTCCCCGGACAGCGCGGGGACCCCAGGCCCGGGCCCCGCGGGGCTTGGGCGACAGGGCCCGGCCAGGGAGCCTTCGGATCTCTGGGTGCGCCCACCCCTCAGGCTCCCCGCGCGGTGCCCTCGGGCTTCGGGCCACGCGCCGCCCCCGGCCCGCTTCCCCATCAACGTCGCGCCGCCGCCCCTCGGTCGACAAGGGGCACCGCGGCGAGTCCCACCCCGCGCCGCCGGGACGCGGCGGAGGCGGCGGCTCCGCGGCCTGTGCGTGCGCAGCGCCCCCC